GAACACTTTTGCTTAATTTGCATAGTTTACTTGCTTACAGATTAAACATTCGAAGCAACTGGAGCAAACATTTTAGCATTTCAATACAATTTTGGGGTAAAAAATGCGACAACCCATTGAAATAGCACAATGCTGTTTTACTAGAAATAAATCAAATTGACTAATTGTTCCTGATATAAGCTTTTGCTTAGACCCATGATCAAATTAATGAGGAGGTTTGATTATTTAATTAACTAACTCACATACTACTTTGGTAAATAAAGTTGTGATATTGGTATTAAATCTGATCATTTGCATAATTGCAATGTCTATTTTCTTCTGTCAATAGCCAAATTACAAGTAAAGGTGCAATTTTTGCAAATGACAAATAATTTTCTTCCTCCCTAACTTATACTAATCTTCACTCAAAATCCCACCAGTAAAAATGCGTTGATTAATGAAAGTTGGGAGATTTGCCAAAGTTGATGGGAAGATCAAAATGAATAGGAAATGACATAAACGTGAAGTCATTGTGTTTTCTACAACCACATAAATCACAAAATCGGCATGATTTGCCAGCTATGCCATGCAAAGCCATGCCACGCCAGGAATCTTGTACTTCCTCCACCAGGTGACCGACGACGATTGATTCAAAATTTGAAAGAATTTATTCCTGCAACAAGAGAAGCCACTCTCCTTACTTTACTTTTAATGATACCACCTTCCCATCATCCATCACCATCCATCACATCTACCCCAACCCTACCCCAACAGATACCCCTTTCCTGCAAATAATAAAGACTTCTCAGATGCAGCCTTTATTACACAATATTTCAGTGAACAAAAATATGTATCTAATAATCACATTTGAAATGCTATTTTTACTTATGTTTAGGAGTACCGAATGCTATAAAATATTGAGAGTACAAAATATATAAATGCATTGTCATCCATTTTCATGAGGATTCCACTTCTGCTACTTCATGGAATTCAAACAAGCTGCGACGGATTTCAGGCAAATGTGTCCTCGGGTTTCTCCTCTGTTTTTACTGCAGCGGTCACCCCACTTGAAGTGTCCATTTGCTCATCCCCAACTTGTGTCGCTGAAGAAGTCAGATCAACCGGTGGATTCCTAACTTCAGGTGTTTCAACTCCCTCATGCTCATTATTTACAGCGATTTGTGTATATTTGAGAAACTTTGCATTATCACCACAAACCCTCGTATCTCTAGCAGGATTGTAACCTGGGTGACGAGAGTCCATATGCCGTTTCAAATGGTCTTGTCGATTAAATTTTCTGCGGCAAAGGAGACATTCGAAAGGCGGTACTTCAGTGTGCAAGGCTCCATGGCGTGCTAAATTAGTGAATTCTGTAAATTCAGATTTGCATTTCTGGCATACGTACTTTCCATGTATCTCTTTCGTGTGCTTGTCCAAATATTTCATCTTTGGAAATGTCATACGACACCAATTGCATGAATACTCAGTCAGTCTCATTCGTCTAGTTCTATGAGATCTCCCCAAATGTGATGGAGTACTCTCGACGCTTTTCTGGTTTGATCTAAATCTCTCAGTCGCTGCACTGAGGAATCCGTGAAGAAAAGAGGCGGAAACATCCGCTTCGCTTCCACTTTGTGCATTTGATGTCGGGAAAGGATTAACAAAGGCTGTAGACGCAGAGGGCATCTTTTTAAATTTTTCCAAAGCAATTGTCAACAATTCAACATGAGGATAAATTATGTCCTTCAAATCTCGAGTATCAGGAACGTTCGTTGATAAGGTAGGTATTGAGGAGGTGAAGGAAGGAAACATGTGGGAACCTGTAAAGGAGTAATTGTGAATGATAATTCTAAATAGTGCATTTCGTAAATTGCATTTCAGTAGTTCTTACCTGCGGTGCCGTTCGCCGTCAACTTCGTTGTATCAATCATGGGTATATTCCCTAATGAAGAGTGCTCCGTAGGAGATGGAGTTGGGACAATTCGGGTCAGATGAAGAGGTTCGTTTGAAATGGAAGTTAAGGAGGTGATTCGATTTCGCCTTGACTCCATTTTAGAAGAATTCAGCTCAAACTGATTTGGATGAAACAAATTCGGAATTGACAATCTGGTTCGATCCAGTGTTAAATTATTTTGCAAATTGAGAGGAGGGTTGATTTCGAATGCACTTGGCTTCTGTGTCCACAACATTTG